GTTCGATTGTGTAGCAATAACGAAGATATCTAATAGAGCAATTTCTTTTCGTTTCGTCGCTGTATGGACACGTTGTAAAGTCAAGGATGGAATGTTGGTGAGTAGTGTGTAGCCCTGACTAAAATCGAGTTGGTCAAGTTGGCAGACTTTTGTTGTATGCGAAATCAATGTGAGGATCAAGCGTTGACGTCGTCGATTCGGTTCAACACGCATTAAACGACCAAATGCGGTTCTCATTATCTTCCCACCGAACTGTACCTCTTTCAAATTGATCACACAAGTGGCTACTATTCGTCCATTTCTAGGTTCTCGCAATTGAAAACAGTACGATTTAGGATATTGTTCCATACACCAGAGATAATCAGTAAATTCACAATGAAAAGCTGCTGAAAACGATCGACCATCCAGACCCATCATCGCGGATGTTTGATTCGTTGCTTCACAACGTCGAAACAGATCGACCAGTTGAATGCGATCGTTACAGTAATCTTCCTTGGTTCGATAGCAGAAATCGAGCTCTGAACCTTCCATCGCCATATAAACAGTCATATGTTCTGTTTGCACACAGTGATGTCAACCGCTTTAACTACCAACAATAGCTGATATAATAAATGACATAGCAATTCATGTAAAGGGAGTCTTTTCTTATCTTGACATAACGACAAAGGTGTATGGATGGCAAAAGTAAACCAGATATGAGGCAAGAGGGGATCTTTTTTGTGCAAAGTGGCATGTTTGACCTAGCTTTCAATATAATACAGCACAGTGAAGACAATTCATGTTGTTAAGATGGGATGGTCATTCTTTTCTCATTATATTCGTAAATGTAACACTCCGCCGTGCTAACATGATAATATAAAAAGAAACTATGATATTTAAGCATTAAACAACAACATAAATGTGATGAGTCTTACAGTTGCTATCAATATCATTCAGTCGAGTATTGACTCAGCTCGTGTAAGTGACAAAGGGTAAAAACAGAGACAAAAAGAAAAAAAACAAAAAAATTCAGAAACTTGTGAAGAAGCACGTAAACGAAAAAGAGAGAAGAGAAGAGAAGAAGGACTCTCGTAAGTGTGTCAAGGACAGAAAAACAAGAAAAAGGAGAAACAAAAAAAAGATAAAAGGAGAAGGATTCTGCATGCCTTTTCTTTGTATACAACTACTTTATTTCAATAAATGATATTCATTTTAAGAAAAGCAATTCATGCTTTCCTATTAATTACTTTACACAATTACTAGGAAATAATTGACTAAGGTGATCCTTCCTTCTTTTATAAAAACCATCCCAAAGAAAAATATCATTAAAGAAAAGTGAACATCCAAGGTCCTTTGTGTGTATACATTTTCAGCTTCTTTGAATGTAGTGTTTAACATAAGCCTCCAATGATAGTTCACTGGTCATAGTGGATAAGTTACGAGTTGAGATAAAGAGGCAGCGATAAATGAAAAAATGCATATGAGAAAAAAACTGTTTGGACACCATGATAGAGATGGAGCGTTTTGCTTTTAACCATCTAAATTTTTCGAGGGATTTTTGAATGTTTCCTATATATCTATCGACTGCTAGTTTCCGGGATAATTTGTTTGTTCATGTGAATCCTATATATTTAAATTCGTTTACTAATTCAGTTTTTCGTCCATTCATTTCTATGTGCATTCTTGGCTTTCTTATTTGTGAATAAAACAACCGTACCACTGTTTTTGATACACTTATAGATTGTTTCCATTTTTTTTTGAGTAAGCAAATAGTCAATCATAGATCGGCACGGCTAAGTGTTACGGAATTTCATTTTTTTACATTGTGACGTCAATATCTTCTCAAAAATAAAAGCTAACTCTCTGAAATTTACGTCATAGATAGACACCATTTAGATCCGTTACCAAGAAAACTTTCATTGATTTTTCTTTAACCAGACCTGAGCTATTTGAAAAATACCGCCTGTTACGGAATTTCAAAAACGGAATTTTTTTTAGTCTGAAGTGGGAGTTTAGTATTTTATTATGAAACGAAGTGACACATAAATAAACATTCTCTATAAATCTGTTCAGTTTTCAACAAACTTTTACAATATAAGGGCAGGTCTTGACAAACAGAACAACATCAAATAAAAAACTTGAAATACTATCTATTACGAAGTTTCATCTTTTTTTGACTTTTTAATGGGGAAGGTTGAAGTACAGAGACAATTTTTATGAACCAAGTAGTTCATTTTTATTATAACAAAAAAAAGCACACAGTAGTTTCTAAAATGATATATCATGTAAAAAAAACAGTATAACAAAATAAAAATCATAATACAAATGAACAATTATTTTTTCTGTGCTATTTAAATAAATTCTACACTGAAGTTCATCAAGAGTGTGGGTGTGAAGCAGATGACGAAGTTCATCCACACCCACACCCTATACTCACACACTGATCATGATTATGATGAACCAGTCTTCACATATGAATAAGCCACATGATAATAAATGTAATATTGATTTAGGTTAGTTTACTATTATTTGAAATCTTCATCTCAAATTCTTAGTTGTTTTTGATCGAGAATATTCGATACTTGATTCAGCTCTTGCTGGTTTATTTGAACAAATTTATTTAAATACTGGTCGAACATTACCATGAATTAGAATACGTATTAAATAAATTAGCAAATTATAAACTATTTTATTCATCAACATAAAATGTTATACAAATTCATCTACATCATCATCTTTCAACAACAATACCATCAGAACATCTTTATAATCGTTTAGATAAACAATTAAATGATATTTGTTTATGACCATATAGTAGTCAAATATCATTATCATCAACTAGTACAAGAAATAATTCATCAATAGGTTATCATTTAATATCAATATCACCACCAACAACAACTATTGAAAATTCAATAAAGAACATGTTCATAGTGATTCTAATGATGAACAAAGACATTTAAATCAAATTCAAGTAGATTCATCTTCTTCTTCTTCTTCTTCTTCTTCTCAAGAATCACTTGTTCATTCAGTAAGTCGACAATCTTTACAATAAACCTTATTTGTTTTAAATAATAGTTATATGACACGAAATACACACAGTTTAGCATCATCAAATATTGATATACCTATAAGAACAAAAAGTTCATTAGTTTCCACTATTTATTATTGTTTAAAAACAAATGATGAATTTAGTGGAACGACTAGAATACAGACGATTTTACCAGCAGCAAAAATGAATATTAAAGCACTTAATCATAGTTTATGAAATAAAGTAAGAATTATTTACAGTGTGGGTGGATGTGAAGAACAAGAAGAACATTCACACCGACGCTCTCATAGTTGTTGATAGCATTCTTTTTCTTTTATTAAACATTACGTCTATATAGATTCCTGTTACTGAACAAAGCTTAATCAACATACGCAGTGGAACGTACTGAATCTAGAGTAGCCTGAGCAATTTCTGTTGGATCTCTACCAATAAGTTAAGAGTAGAAGGGAGGAGGGCGAGTCTTTTTATACCATTCAGATGAAAGACAGTTAGTACTTCTTGTTTCCAACTTACATTTTGTACTGTATAAAGCTGAAGCGGTTGAGCAAAAGTTTTCAGCTTGTGTCAAAAGGCGATCAGTTAAAAAAAACATACTAACATTTGTTTTTCATTTCATTTTGACTCTCAAAAGAAGAATTTTCAATCTAATTTACTGGAAACGCAGAATAATGATGCAGCAGTAGTGTTCACAAAAAATAAGAAATTAACGTATGGGTTTGTTGAACATGTTTCTTAGACATGTAAGCTTAGTTATAAAAATCGAAGAAAACTTTCGGCAACTTTTAGTTTGTTTAACTCAAGTTTTCTGTACGATTTTTCTAAACTTGTAATAGAAGAACACTCAATGTTTTCTCAAACATGTTTTCTAAGTTTCTTTCCCTAAGAAAATGTCACCATTTGTCTTCGAATGCAGTTGAAAAATTCTGGCGTTTGCATAAGAATTTCGATGTGTTGCATAAGTCTATTCATCTGATGGAATGATAAACCAATATTTAAGACTATCCTTATCTACGACACGTTAATTTAAGGTAGGCTTCAGTCTACCCAAGTCTTGTGGATCCAGTACCTCTCTGTTTTCGTCGATGTTCTTGATTTAACGCTGATGCAAATATTTCATATTTTATATAATAGTCCATGCAATATAGAGTCAATGATAGCTATTATTACATTTGTCTTTCTTCTGATAAGAAGAACAGTGCCCAGCCTAACTTTCTTAACTATGTCATTATTTAATGAATTATTGTTCTTCTGTATCGCGTACAACTAATATTCATCATGTTTTGGTGTATCAATCAATGAAAAATTTCCTAGATAATCTATATCAAGTGCAATTTATATTTATTGTAGAAAAAAAAATAATTCAATTACGAATGAATAATAGATAAGAAGAAAAAAAAAAGTAATTATGAACAAAAGAATTAGACAAATCATACCAAACAAAATTCACACGAATCAAAACACAACAACAAAAACAGTAACTGTATGTATCTTTTCATTGAAGTAAGATATATATATATATATGATGTATAGGCTATTGAATGGTTCTCTTGTATGAATAAATCAATAAGAAAAAAGAAAAAAGAAAAGAAGAAAAAAGGAACATAATAGTAGATATTGATAGACCAATCGAAAAACTAGTCTAACATATTATTTGACTTCTTCATATAATAAATTATACTAATGGAAGAAGACAAATAAAGAAGAATTAGAAGATAAACGAGGTCTTTGGTTTTTTTCCTAATAGTCTTGTAATCGAAATGAATATGAATTTTTCCTGAGTGAAAGAAACAAAAAAAAGCGAAGAAATTATCGATCTGCAATAGGATGTACAGATCAAGATGCATACACATATGAAAGAATCATTCAAATGAAATTCATTCACATATCGATACAATACCATAAAAACAAAAGAAACCATCTGACATGTACCATATATACTCTTAAATTTTCAATATCGATTATTTTAATTTTATTGATGATAATTATTAAAATTGTACAATCGAGATGATGGTTGTGTGCGTTGTTCTAAACTGCTATGATCTGATAATGGTGAATCATTATCATCATCTTCATCACTATAATGTCTATTATAAATAAATAGAAAAAAAAAACACACACACACACACACAAATTTTTATTTTATATTGAATTTAAAAATACTTTTAATCTTACCCTTGAGTTAATCCATGTCTTTTCTTAGCTGCATTTTTTTGTTTAACTTGTTTAACTGATGTTCGATTACGTTGAACTATTTGAGATTGATCATTTAAACGATTTTGATATACAATCATATTTTGTGTTGAACCATAACCTGAATTTGGACTAATTGAATTTGATGTTTCATAATCAGCCATAATTCCTGATGATGATAATGATTTTGATGGTCGTATTGGTGTTGACATAACAAGATTGGTTAATGTTGGTGATGATGATGTCCAATTTTGTTTATTATTATTATTATCAATATTAGATGTCATTTGTTGTTGTTGTTGTTGTTCATATGGTATATGTTGAAAACCTGTTGATGTATAACGTTTTGAATATTCATTTGAATTTTTTGATAATTCTTTTCGACGATTTTTTGTTGATATTGGTTTTGAAAATTTATATATTTGATCATTTGTTTGAATATCAAGATTATTATATAATGCATCAATTTGATCGATAGTTTCATTAAAATTATTTGATGGTTGAGAATAATTATGCACTATTTCATTAACTTGATCAAAATAATATGGTTGTTTAGAATGATAATATGATGAATATGTTTGATTAGGACTATTAGATTGTTCATCACTTGAATAATTTGTATTAGGACATTGATAACGAAATTCATCGGAACTAAAATAACCAGATGAACGATTTAATGAACGATCTGATGAATGAAAATCACTATTAATTGTAACCATATTTCCTGGTCGTGCAAGAACATTTTGTATTGAAACACGACCATCTTTTGATGTTGTTACAATGGCACGTGAATCTTGATCAAGTGATATAACAGTAGGTTGTGGTGGATATTGTGGTGGACGTTTTTCAATTTCAATTTCAAAATCTAAATTCGAATTTATTAAATTATCAAGACTACTAGAATGATATTTTGTTTGAGGATAATATGTTAATTTTGAGCTAGGAGAATATGATCGCTGTTGCTGTTGTTGTTGTTGTTGTTGTTGTTGGTTTTGATCGTGTAAAGATAAATGATAAGATGAAGAACGTGTTGGATAACTTATTTGAGAAGAATAGTCACGTTTAGTTCCAGTAGGACCTAGAATAAATAAAGAAAAGAAAAAAAAAACTAAATTTTGTAAAAATAATGATTGAAGAAAAAAAAACACATAATTAGTAATACTCCCAAAAGCTTCAAGAATATGAAAAAAAAAGAATGTTTTAATTGACTTGCATCGAAAAAGAAAGTGACACAAGAAAACAACAACAAAAAAAAAAATCACAAACCTAAACTTGCTAGAATAATAAAAGAATGAACAAAAAAAAAAAGCCAACAGAAAAGAAATTCAAAGAACTTTTCGTTTTTTTATTTTTGCCTTAACTTACCAATTCGTGATCGATCTTGTCGTTGTCTATATTGTTGACTAATTGATGGTGGTAAATAATTTGTTGCATGTGCACGTTGATAATGTGATCTTGAACGTCCTTCATCTTGTTTGATTTTTTCACTAAGTTCAGGTTCACTTATACCATGACGTATTGTTGTTTTTTTCTTAACATCACTAATAAGTTCAGGTACACGAACAATTGCAACAATTTCATTTGGTGAATGTTTATCAAATATAATTTGATTATGTGGACTTAATGATGTTACTTCCATTGTATGTGTATTAATATTATTTGTTCGTGTTAATGAACTATGACGTATATTTTCTTGAGATTGTTCACGTTCAATTGGTTTAAACCATGTTGGTTCAATACGAACTGGTATTGCTTCATGTATTGATGAATCTTAAAAAAAAAATTCAAAGATTTGTTTTTGTTTTTTGAAATAAAATTCTATATGAAAATTTTTTTACCAGTAGTTTTAGTTGATTCATAATATTGTGGTCGTTCATCTACTAAAATACGTTTTGTTGGTGTTGTTGTTGTTTCATCAGATGAACTATATGTTGAATAAATTTTTTTCGATGAACTTATTGGACTTGATATTCGTTCAGTTTTTATTGATTCTTTTATTTCATTTGTTCGTTGTACTTGACATTCAACATGTGTTTCAGTTTCAATTGTTTCAATTTCATCAACAACTAATGGTTTTCTTGAACGTGATTGTGTTATTATTGGAACTTTACCTTTTTTATCAATTCCACTTTGATAATTTGATAGATTTTCATAATCATCTGATGTTGAACTTATTAATTGTCGTCGAACAGTTCGTTGTTGAGGATGCGTATGTATTGGTTCACTTGGAGGAATTTCAGTACTATATTTATATGTTGATCGTGATATAGAATCATCTAGATTTTGAATTGGTGTTTGATCAGTATCGGAAGTTTGTCGTCGAGCATAAGATGAAATTGTTGATGGTGTTGTTGAATCAATATAAACACCATTTTCATATGTACGTGTTGCATCATCAGTAATAGATGTTGATACGTTCTGACGCCAAGAAGGTGAACTTGTTCGTAATTGTTGACTTGTTGTCGTTGTTTGTTCATATATACCAGAATCAGTTGTAATATTTGATTTATTTTGATCATGAATTGATTTTGTTGAAATTGGAGATAGATCAGATGCAAGTTCAACTAGAATACCTTTACCTATAGATAATAAGAAAAAAAAATGAGTTATGTAAAGTTTAGAATTAAATATATATATATATATATATATATACCTTTACTTATTGGTACATGTGAAAGTATATTTTCCATATTTCTTTCATTAAATTTAGTTGTTGTTTGTTGTACAGTTAAATTTGTATTATCAATTGGTTGTAATGTATTTTGTGAATAATCTCGTAGACGTGTTTTTGATGTACGTCGTCGTAAATCATAATTTTGTTTTGCATCACTTAATTCATCTTCACTTTCATGACCAGCATCTTCAACATGTATTTGTTTAGTTGATTTTGGTGTTGTTGTTGTTTGTAATAATCGACTTGTATCAGAATCAATTGTTGATTGAGCTTGTTTTTTTTTTATTTGTATATCAATTGTTGTTTGTGGTATTGGTTTTATTATTGATGATTCAAGTTTAGATGTAATAGCATCAAATTCTTTTTTACCAAGATGTTCACTTGGTTGTATACGTGATGTTGATTTTGATTCAATACTATCAATATGAGATAAACGATCAGTAATAATAGATGGTACAGTATGAGTTTCACTCATACGACGTTCATTTGAATCAAATTCATTGATCTAATAATTTATAATAAAAGTAAATATAATTGTTTCTTTCTTTTTTTTTTCCCTAAATTCTTCTTAAATTATACCATAAAGATGAATTCATACCTGAAAATTTTTATTATTATGCTATCTATTAACATAATCAATGATTTTATTCGATTTTTTTTGTATTATTTTTTTTTAAACGAAAATAATTTTCATTTAATTAAAAAAAAAATAATCATTGATTTTGTTGTTGTTATTGTTGTTTTTTTTACCCCTCCCATATTGATTAGTATGAAGAAAGAAAGAGAGGGAGTGAGAGAGAGCAAAAGAAAATAACACAAGTAAGCAAACACCACAGATACAAATTATTATTAATTCAACCCCAAGCAAATTTTAAAAAATCTTTTCTATATATCTTACCGGTCGTCGAGTCCGTTCTTTATTTGTTTGTTCACGTTCTTCAAAAAGTTTTCGTCGTTGTTCTGTTAAACCATTTGTTGTTATTGAATATTGATATTTTGTTGTATTATCATCTTTAATAAAGCCATTACGAGTTGATTCAAATGTATTTTTTAATTCATCAACACGACCAAATGATGGTCGATCAGTTTTAGTTGTAATTTGTTCATATTGTTTTCGATGTTCATCGATAGTTGATGAAGGTATATATTTTGGTGATTGTCGACGACGATCATCTTCATCAATTGATGATGTTGAAATAGGTTTTTCTCGTGTTGTAGACTAAGATAAAAGATTAATTAATCAAAAATATAAAATAAATAGAAGCAATAAAATATCAGTTAGTATATTCATATTGTAAAAATTAAATTAAAGAAGTCAAACAACACACATATAATACAAGTATTATTATTATCTCATTGTCTCAACTTACATCAACAAAATAGACTCTTTTCTTTTTCTGTTCATTTTCATCTATGGATGAGTAATAAGATTTTTTTTTGTCTGGTATTGATTTAAATTTTCGTTGATCAATATATGTTCTATCACGTCGAGGAATTTGAAATTCAATTTCTTTAAAACGTTGTTGAGTATATGATGGAGTCATAGATGCATGTTGAGCAATATAATTTCGATCGAAATATTTTTTATACTATATGAAATATGGTATCTTCTCATTCGAATATTTTTCTAATGAGGAAACTATCTCCAAATGTAATCTGTGTTTTGAGCTCAGAAGAAGATCTTGGTTAAGTCTAAAAGAGCTCGTCTTCATAGAACCTTTGTGTTTTGAATTTTTGATCTATTTTTAGATATTTACGAGAAAATCATATAATGAAATTTTGTTCATAGATAGGTATAATAACCTTTGGAAAATCTTAAAATTTTCAAACGAAAGGAATATTCCTTGGATGAGATATTGAATTTCTAAGTAAATTCAATTTTTGTATGATATTAGTAAAATATGCTGAGCTAAGCATCGTTTTGCTTGAAATTCTGAGTCTATCAGACTTGTCTTTAAGTCAAAAGCTCAAACAAATAATTGTTCGGAAAACAAAACGTTACAAACATTTATTTTGTTCAGATTTTGGCTTATACCGGTGTCCTATAGAGTGAGAATTTTAAGCTCTATCGACTAGTAGACATCCCAAGTAAAACAGCGCTTCGAGTGAGTAAAAGCGTATATTACCGATGTGACATGTCTGTGGTAAACAGCTATGTTTCGGAAATTCAATATATCAACAAAGTAACATTTTTTAGTATTCAGTACAAAGGCTCATGATGATGAACCTTTTTAGACTTCTCCTAGTCTTACTAAGATCTTCTTATAGGTTCAAACGACGGATTACAATTGAGATAGTTCATTCGTTAAGAACAAAAAAACAAAAAAAAGAATTTTTTTCTCTTGTTTCAATTTACCTGATCATATCGATCATCATCCGAAGTTGGAGCATAGATTTCTCTAAGTTTATTTCTCCAATCTGAATCTCGTCGAATAGGTGATGTTTGAGTAGTTGTAATATAACTATCACCTAAATCATCTTCTGATGTTTCATGTCGAATTTTTGGTGTATCAATTTCAACATGATATTCTTCACTAATAAAATCTTCATGTTCTTGTTTTCGTTTTTCAGGATAATGTAATGTTGTTGGTGTTACAATAGTTGATACACGTTCATAATGTGATGATGGAATTGTTGATATAGTAGCTTGAGTTGTTGATGGTATAGGTGAATATCGACCAGGACGTACACGATCATAAGTTTTTGATGATAATGATGAATCAAATTTTTGTGTTTGTGATTCAATATCTTTCGCAAGTTTTGAATTATAAGCAATTTCTGCTGTATAAGTATCTTCTGTAGTCCATTGACGATCTTGTGATAATGATGACGATGGTATCGTCATCGTTATTGGTAATGAGGGAAATGATGAAGAAGAAGGAGGAGGAGGAGGAGGAGGAGGTTGATGAATCTCCTCAAAAATATTAGTTTGTACTTGATCAATAGGTATTATTGTACTTGATGGTACACTTCGTTGAACTTCTTTAACAATATCATAACTTTTATGTCGTTTAATACGTACATTTTTTTCTTTATATTCTTCTTTAATAACATCACTTTTAATACGTTCACTTGTTTCATCAATTATTGAACGAATTAATTTTTGTGTATTTTGATCATATTCATCTGTACGACGACAACGAAATTCTTCACTCCATTCTTCAAAAAAAGCTTCTTCACTTGTTATTGATTTTTCATCTTCACTTATATGTTCAATAATTGTTTCTGGTACAAGTATATTATCATCTTTTCTATTAATATGAGTTGATATTAATGGAGCTTGCATAATAACAGGTGTACGTTCAATAATAGAATGTTTTGTTGTAAGATCTTTTTCACTTCCATAATTATATGTTGCTTGTTGTTTATATTGACCACTTGTACCCATATTAACATCAACAGTTTTTTTCATTGATACATCTTCATATATAGGACCGGATTCAGTTGGAGCCGGTGGACGAACTAAATAAAAATCAATTAAATTTTTTTTTTCTTTTTTTATTCAAAAGAAACCATACAATTGAAGCGTGTGTGTATATATATATATATATAAATCAGTATGAGAATATAAATAGATTCACTCAATTATTTAATTCATCTTACTTCGATATTCTACGGTTAATCTAATTGTTGCACCACGAGGTGTTGAAGCATTTGCTTCTATTTCAATAAGTTTTTTTTTTGGTGATGATGTAGCCATTATTTAACCCAAAAAATGAATATACGTATGTATGTATGTGTGTCGATGGAAGAGAAATGAGAGGATTTATAACAATCGTACGAGTATGATAGACATTTAGTTTTTTTTTTTTTAGTTCTTGCGTGAAAAGGATGAATATGTAAGTAGAAGAATAGCTAGTAATCGTTGCTCATCGTTGTTGAGAAGCACTACTATGAAATAAGGGCGTGTTGTAATAAAAATCACTCGTCTTATCAGACTTTATTAAAAGAACGAAAAGAAAGAAAAAGATGTAAAATGAATTAGAACTAATGTTATTGGTACCATTCAACATTTATTTTATGGTGAGAAGAAGGAAGATGATTTCGTATCTTCTTCATTGGCTTCTCTCGATTTCCATATTCCTATTGACGATTGATTACTTTTTCTCTCTCTCTCTCTTTCTCTTTCTATGGAATTTAATAATAAAAAGAAAAAGAGAAAGTAAGTGATGCTTTTTTGTGTTTGGCAAAGTTCAAAATTTTTTTTCTCTCAACCGCAATAATGAAAATGAATCTATATTTCACTTTTTCTCTCTCTCTTAACCGCGCGCCACACCAAACAAGCAATCACTGAAATATCGTCAGAGGCAGTGATGGCGATACACGATTCATTTAGATTGTGCCGATTCTCTTCGTTTTCTTTCTCCTTTATCGAATTGCATTATATACTTTCGGTTTCTTACACAAACAACGCTCAGTGACACTCCAATATTGACTAGCAGGCGTATTAAAATGAATTGTCGCCTTGTCTCTCGTCTAGTTAGATTAAAAGCTATATTTTATTTTCGTGTTGTTGTTGAGTAGAACGAACAAAAAAAAAAGAAAAGAAGACCGTATAAAAAAAAGAAATCCTTTGCAATGTTCGACGTTCATTAGTCAACAACCTATTGTCAATCATCTTTTTCAAAATCAATAGTGGAGAAAAAAAAAACAGAATAGAAGTATTATGTGTATATATAACTTTTTCTTTTTTCTATTTCGAAGAAAATTCTGCCAGGTAGTCATGTGCATATAATGGCCTTGCCTATGATGCATGTCATTTGAGCTGCTTCTTTTTTTTTTTTTTGTTTTACATTTTATTCTATGATAGTACATTAAAAACCTTGAGATCTCACATAATATTGATAAAAGAATCAACCTTCAGTGTTATATATTTTTTCTCTTATCTTACTTAACTATTAAAATGATTTAATCGAAAACAAAAAAATTGCTTTGACATTTTTTAATTTTATTAGTTTATTCGATATTATTATGTTCTCAATTTCTAACATGAAACAGGATCATGTTTTAACTATACCACTTAATCCTTTATTCTTTTTTTTTTTTTTAATACAAGCTGTGAAATGTAATACTAGCTTTTTAATCGATGTCACATTATAAATAGACGAAAAACCACACTATTTAAGGATTATTTTTTATAGAATATATTTTCAATGTGTGATCAAGTATAAAAATAACATCATGAAAATATTCTTGTCTTATAACAAAGAAAGAACTGTCAATGGAAGGATATAATTATATATACATAGGATGATTAGAACAAAAGATGCTTAGATCAATTGTATTAATATGAATAACAATGGAAATAGAAAAAGGAAAAAATAATAGTAAAATATTTAAAAAAAAAAAAAGAAAGAAAGCAAAATCAACGAGATTCAAGCTGTTTTTTTCAAGGTAAAGATGATTAACAAATGTTTTTCTTCTTTTTTTTTTCGACTCTATAAGTAAAAGTATGATTAAAATATTTCATCAATATTAAGAGTTAATTGAAGGTTTCGATTATTTCTTATTTGAAATATACAAAAAAATACTTTGTTTTTTTTTCTTACCTTCTACGGGTTTTGTTGATGTTGGAATGTTTAATTTCTTATATTCATGGTCTATTTTATTATTGATTGCGTTTTGTAACATTAAATCAGTTTGATCGTATTGATTTAGTTTAGATTCATTCTAGATAATAGAAAAATAAATACATTTATTTAAATTATTCGGGTCTTTTTTTTCCTCTATGCTTTAATATATATATATAACTATGCCTTCCTATAAATGACCTTCGCAATTTGTAACAATCATTTGCTTTCATCTATATATGTATATATAAATGCATATCACTATTCTAACAAGGTTATTCGACCGTTCAATTGATTGTATAGTAGTACAAAGATCATTATCATTCATATACACAACCCTTTCGTTGAATGATCTTTTCAAACAGATGAATGAGTACAAAAAAAAAAGAGAAAGAGAAAAAGACAGATGATTGTGTCTTGATAAATATATCGAACAGCGTACTACTATCAATCAGTTAGAAGATGTTCATGATGTTGGCATTTTATTAGAGCTCATTGTATCTTTTCTTTGTATTTGTATGAATGAAACAAAAAAAAAAAAATGACCTGAAAGGATATACTTTCTTTTATATAATTTTCTTTACAATAAATATGATTCATTATTTCTTTTTTTTTTTTTTTCGAATTCATCAACAAAGATTTTCAAGTGTCACACGTCTAGAACTGAAGTTGATCATGTGTATTAAATCTCAAGTATGAAAACTAAAAAAAAATACTACTTGAAAAATTTAAAAAAAAAAAAAAATCTTCAACATAATTTTTTAAATCGTAGTAAAAAGAAACAGTATAATTCTTCATATTACCAATAAGGCATATGATGTGTATAACAAAGCTTTTTTTTTTTTATGTTTTGTTGTTAAATATCTTCGATTAACTATGTAGAATTATTCTAAGCATTAGTGCAGTGAGATTAGTAATAAATCAAAGCAAGAAGCATTATGATGTAAGAAATTTTAAGTATGAGTTTGTTTTATAACTAAACAAATAATACTTTATATCAAATCTAGATTGATTGATTGATTGTATAGATTTACATGCATAATTTGATATGTTTTTTTTTTGCTTTCTTTACCTCATATTTATTATATTTTCTTGAACGAATCTCTGATAAAAATTCATTATTATCATTTTTTATAATAAAATCAGGTTGAATTATTTCAGCATAACATGGTTCAGGAAAAGGATATAATGATTGAATATGATAATGATCTATATACGTTGGTTGATCATATTTAAATGAAGTTATTTGAACATCTTTTTCATCATCGGATAGATTATGTATTCGACCAAAAGATAATAATTCTTGTTGATTTATTTCATATTCACTTGGTGAAATAATTTCATCATCTTGTATTACAAAAGAAAGCATATGTGGTAATCTATCTGGTGGATGAAAAAGTGAAAAATCATTATGAAAACTTATTTGATATGTATAAATTTCATCGATTATTGGTAAATGTATATGTGATGATTCTAAAAATGAATTTAATGATTCTTGTATATTTTCATTTAAATCATAACCATATTGTAAACGATATGGATAAATTAAAAGTGCAGTTTCATCTTTATCAATTTGATTTTCAGTAGCAAAAAAAATTTGTTCTTGTATTGAAGAAATATTTGTTTCTTGTTCATGATGAATAATTGTTGGTAAAATTTCAATAGATTCTAATGGACGATTAATCCATGTTGCTTGTTGTAGTTGATCATTAATATTTGAAATAATATTTTCTGTTGTTTCATTCATTGTTTTATTCATTTCATTTTGTCCAAAACCAATTGTTAATAAAAAATTTTTTGTTGGATTATTTATTTGATTTATTTCAGTTGCTAATGCATCAAGAAAATAGACAACTGGTACGGTTGTTGGTGCTGTATATGATGTTAATGGCGATGATGATGATAAAGTTGTGTTTGTGATAGAAGACGTAGGTAAAATATTTGTTGTAGATGTTATAGGAATGATAACAACATTGTTGATATTTGAAGTAACGATATCGTTATCTTTGTCTAGTGAATCTGTTTCATAGTCACTTGTTGGAGAACAATATGTAAGAATGTCTGTCATGTAATTATTTTCTTCAATATTTCTTAGACTTGAATTTTCTTCTTCTTCTTCTTCTTCTTCGTCTTCAAATTTTTTATTCATTGGAAAAATATTTGTAGTAAGAAAATTCATATACTCAGTATTATTTATCAATTCAATTGGTTGTCGATGTAAAGTACTCTCATGTTGAATAGTATCGATATCTTTTTCAACAGTCCATTGTTCAACAAGTTGTTCATCTTGTGATTGAATAATAGATTTAAACCATTGAATTGGTAATACATGATTTTTTTGTTCACATCTTTCAATTTTTGATGTTACATAAGAAAGAGATATTTGATCAATTAATGGTAAATGTTGTTCATGATCAAGACATTCTTCAAAATGATTTAGAAATGTTTCCATATCAATAAATGATGATATTTGTGAATCAATTGAAAATTTTTCAATATGATCAGATGATATTGTTAATGATTGTTCTTGATTTTTTTTTAAAAATTTTTTTTCTTGTTGTTGAATATTTTTATATGTTTGTTTATAATTATGATTAGGATAATTTAATATTAAAATATTTTGAATATGAATAGAATTTTCTAAATAAGGTTGTTCATCAATAAAAATATTTGCTTGTTGTTGAATTAAATATGAATCATCTAATAAAGATATAACTTGTTCATCATTATCAATTATTTGTTGTTCAAAAGAATTTTTAAGTAATTTTTCAGATATTTGATTATTTATAATAGATTTATTAAGAAATTGTTCGGGTAAATTTATTTTTATTTGTTCATATTCAAAATTATCAGAATTTTTATTTTCTGCATTTTCTATAATTGATTGAAATTCATTAGAAATTGTATGAATACTTTCATCAATCCATTCTTTATCATCGATAATAATTGACATACGAATATTTTCTTGAACTTTTTCATAAGTTTTCCAATCATCAATTATTTGTTTAGCATGTTGTTTATGTATAGTAGTAGTAGTATTCGATTCTTCAAGAAGTGAAGCAAGCTAGAAGGATATATATGTATAGGGTGTCCGGAAAGTCCTTAGAGTTACAAAAATTTGGATATCTCCATTATGGTTGGACTGAACGAGCTCATTTTTCTAACAAAGATTGAGGCATGTTCACACTCCAAATTCATATGGACAAGGGTATTGAGAATCTTTGTTAAGTATCACTATTGACCTCAACAAGAAAATTTTACTGTTTCACAGTTAGGAAAACAAATATTACACAGGATAGGGCAAAAGACACTTTATTGAAAAGACAATTGACTTTCTTCATTATAGCTTGAGCGAACCAACTGATATTTTTACCCAGGATAGAGGCATATCCACACTCCAAATCCATACTGACAACGTTAGTGAGAACCTTTGTTAAGTATATGGTTTTTCTTCCTCTCTGTGGAACAGTAAAATTTTCTTGTTAAGGTCAATAGTGATACTTAACAAAGATTCTCAATACTCTTGTCCATATGGATTTGGAGTATGAACGTGCCTCAATCTTTGTTAAAAAAATGAGCTCGTTTGGTTGAGCCGTAAAGGAGATATGAAAATTTTCCTAACTCTAAGGACTTTCCGGACACTCTATATATATATGTTACAGAGAAAATTGAAATCTAAGATAATTTAAAATTTTCCTAAGGGAATTTCAAATTGTTTCAGATTTCAACTTCTCCTATAACGTATATATATAAAGCATATATAAAAAATGATTAATAGATTAAAAAACAAAGCACAACTGTATTTGAATAAATATATATATATATTTATAAAATTGCAAGCAAGAAAATAAGCTGCAATATGCATGTAAAATAACAATAATTCTTTCATTATTCTATATATTTTTTTATTTATATTGATAATTTTCTTTTTGTTTTGTACTTACTGGAACAAATTCATCGAATACTTGAACATTTAACGGTTGTGCAAATAGATTAGCATATGAAATTTCATTTGTAATAGTTACTTTTTCATATACAGGTAATTGTTCATCAATATCCTTTTACCATAAAAGAAATCAAATATTTCAAATTCTTTTTTTTTACCATGCGGAAAATTACCTTAGTTTCTTCATTCAATAAAATTTTATCATTTCGTTCATTGAATGGTTCTGATGTATTTAATATAGTTGGTTGTTTATTTCTTTGACAAATATGTAGAGAAACATCAATATCAGATAATATATCATTTGCAAAAGTATTTGATGATATTGTTTGAACATTTTCGAATATTGGAATTTCTTCTTGAATTACAGTCATATGTTCATTTCTAAGAATTTTTAAAGTACTATGTTCATGTTTTTGTTCTTGTTCAATATATTGTGTAATTTGTTCATTATTAGATTGAACAGCTAATGAAAGTGGTTGTTCAGATGGAACAAGAAGCATAGCATGTTGATAATTATCTTGAGGAATTTGAAAATTTTTAGTTTGTTGTATGAATTCATTAAATTGATTGACTTCATATCGATTTAATGTTATAATAGGTGTTATAGTAATTGTAGATAATTTTCTAGTGTCAGATTCAGTTTCAATTTGTTTAGCTTGACTGATTTGATTTATTTTCGAATGAGGTAGATGTGTGTAGATTTTTGTTTTTGGACGATATGGAGAATGTGATATAATGACCTTAAGAATTAAATAATTAACGAAGAGATTTTTTTTTTTAAAGAAAGTTATTTGAATATAGGTAATCGACTATGCTAATTTTCTAGACTCATAAAATTTTTGTTTTTGATCTATCCAGATAACAGAGTATCTCAAATTCTCTAGTAACATTTTCTGTTTCAAATCATTCTTTTTTCTTTTTTTTTGATTGATATACAATAATTTTATTCATATAACAGAAGATTATTGTCTTATAGAGAAAATCAATATGCTCTATAATCCAAGTAGAACCAATCCAATTTTAATAAAATTTTTATTAATCCAAAAAATCGATTCTCGTTACAATCAACATATGAAGGTGTAAGGAGATTTCTCATGTTCATATTTGGATTTTTTGAAAACTAAACAGTGTGTTTTCTTAAACTACAAAATTTCTACAGACGATTTTTTTTTTCAAAAAAAAAAACCAGTTTGTTTACTATCAGCGACATGATTGAGTACGAACATAGAAACCAAAAATCTTTTTGTAATTGAATGAGAAATCTCAAAATTAATTTTAAATAGTACAAAAATTCTTTTGTGGATTTGATGTGATAGCAAAACAAAAAGTCTCATCCTAGGACACCAGCAGATCTCCGAAAAAACGATTTTCCTAAAGCAATTTTTGTAGTCGAATCTTGCTGAAAATGTCAATATATAGATATAGTTCATGGCATGGAATTTATCCGAAAATATTTGGACTTATCCCATCATAAATTTAGAGAATTATTCGCTAATTATGTTTTAATTAATTAGTTAATTAAGATTAATTCTATGTAAGCTGAAAGAGTCAATATTTTGTATATATTAATGATAAAAGAAATTTTTTTCTTAAACAACTAAGAATCTTTTTTTCTCGAAATTGTAAATATATTTTCTTAAAAGTTAATCTCATTTTTAATATTCGATTGTAATTGAATATAATAAATATTGAAAAAATTTGAACTCAAATTCTGCATGAATAAATCTTCTTATAACCCCTGTTGCAAAAGTCTTAAGACAAAATGTTTGTTCAGAGTTCGGTTATTTAGAAGTAACTTGGGAAAGTGAAAAGTAGTCAGTTAGAATAAACATGTGATGCTCTCTCTAAATGGGTATTTAAAATTCTTTTTCTGGTTTGAAATTGATTCACTGAGAGCAAATCTTTGATAGGCACTAAAAATGACGTTTGTACGAAATATTTCATGTAGTTCATTGTTGTATTTTCATTAAAACTATCTCAATTGAAATTATAGGAAAGTGTTTTTCTATACCAGTTTGTAGGGTGAAGTTTGCTCTACAAAATATCCAATGGGTTTTGCTCTCTACATATCATTGAAAAGAATCAAGATCTGTTACATTTTAAATATGAAAAATCCTCAAAAATGATTATTGTGAAAAATGTCGTTTTATATAAAGAGTAATATTTCGAAAAATGTTTCTAGCTTTTAATTCATTTCATTTCTAGCTGGTTGCAATCTATGATTTTATAGAGCATGAAATTCTCTACAACGATAGGAAGTGAAAACTACCCAAAATACTCTTCAGAGAAATGATGCATGAACGATAAAACATCAATTTGTGTCATGAAAACGACTTCTTTATTTATTCAAGTATTTGCTTACAGCTACCTACCCCGTAAGTTAGAGCAAAATTCTAAAGATATATTTAGAAAGAGCATCAAATTCTGGTTCTAACTGACTACTTATGATCTTCTTCAATTAGATTTCAATGTCCGAAACATCAGCAAATATATTCACTAAAACTTTTGAAACTAGTGTTTTGTACAAACATAATTTTTGGTGCCTATCAAAGACTTGCTCTCAGTGAATCAACTTCAAGCCAGAAAAAGAATTTTAAATACCCATTTAGAGAGAGCATCACATGTTGATCCTAACTGACTACCTTTCATTTTCTCAAGTTACTTCTAAATGACTGAAAACTAATCAAACATTTTGTTTCAAGACTTTTGCAACAGAGGGTTATTTAAAATAATACCTGTCGTGATGTATCAATAATTTTATCACTATAATCTTGTTCTTGTCGAATATATATTTGTTTTTGATCAATAAAATCAGGTGGATCAACAGTTGTTATATGTGGAATTTCATGTTGATCATAAATTGTTGTATTTATTTGTGATGTTGATGGTATAAGAATAGAATAGATTGGTGGTGGTGAAATAATACCAACATGATGAATAATTTCATTACTACCATCATCAATTAATGTTCGACGTGCACGACCCATAATAATTTCTTTTGTTTGTACAACATTTGAAGGTGTTGTAGTAATAAAATCATGAGATTGAGATTGATGATGAATATTAATAATTGGTGGATGAGAATATTTAATTAAATTATTACTTAAATCTATTTCAGAATTATGTATAGATGAAGTAACTATATTTAAATGATATTGTTCTTGTCGTATACGTCGACGTCTTTCAAGTTCAATAGCAATTTTTCTTTTATAATTTTCTAATACAAATGGTTTATAAATATCAGTAACATCTTCAGTTGTAAATGATGTTGGTGTTTTAAATGATTGTTTATAACGTATATGTTCTTTTCGTACTTGATATAAATGTTCAGCTGATAAACTTCGTTCTAATTTTTTTGTATAATTATTAAAAAAATCTTGTTTATGAGCTTTATCATATGAAATTAATTCAATATGTCGAACACTATCTTGCATATTACGATTTAATTGTGAAAGATAAAAATCAGCTATTAAATCACTTGGATGATCAAGTAATGAACGATTAACTGTTGATAAATAACGTGAAATTTTTCGTTGATTTGAATTTATTTGTTTTTGATTAGTTTTTTCTATATGATAATAATTTTCATCTAGTTCATTAGTATTATTATTATCATCATCATCATCAGACCAAATTGATGAATATGTTTGAATATCTATATCACTATCTGTATGACGAGTTTTTCTATAATATTGATGAGATAATTTTTCTCTTTTACATTGTGTTGCTTTTGATACATGACCAGCAATAGATGCATCAATACCAAGAAAATTTTCTTGCATTATTTCATAAAATAAATCCCTATTTGGATGAATATTTGTTACTGGTTGAGATATCTATATAAAACAAAAAAAAAACGTTTATGAAAATTTTAACAAAATCAAATTAATCACAAAGATATTGTGTTATTCTATCTATTATGGAACGTATTTCTTCACCATCCTTTTACTTAGTCCTCTAAAATTGTAATAAGGAAGTGGTTCATAATCATATATCAACATGTATGATGTGGAGGCAACCGTTGCTAAAGTGTCTCGATACAAATTTTTATACTTATGCTTCAAGACACCATTTAGATTGTATTTTACGAAATTGACGTATCAATTTGTAATTACACTCAGTGACTGCATCTTCGAATTCGGCTGAAATTTGTAGTTAAATGTTTCTTTTCTCGATATTTTAAGTTTGAATGACACCTGACTCAAACATGAAATATATAATAGAAAATATCTTCTCTAGTCAAGACTTTTTCGGGAACTCACTAATAATTCCCTAGTCTTTAGAATGTCCCTCTCAAGTCCCAAGAGAGTTCCTAAAATCTTCTCTTAACTCCCTGGCGATTCCGATAGTGAGAGTTGATTAAGATTTACATCAATTGAACTTAGTAAAATAAAATTTCGAAGTTGTTCTTTTTAAAAGTGAAGGATTTTGCTGCAATAAAAAGAACTTGTCAGTGCGGCACCATAAGAGGTCAAAGTGTGGGATTCATAAATTCTAACTATTATAAAGTTATAGTATATTGCTAGAAGGGTTAAAATAATTTATGTAAAACAAAAATGCCAAATACCCATGTAAAAATAAATCGCAAAAAACCAAGATTTTTATCGATTATTTTTTGATTTTAAATTGATTAAAATGGCACTATTTTAATCAGATTCTCGGTTTTTAATCTATTTTAATCGATTATTTGTTTTTTTTAATCGATTTTAATCATGAGGACTAAGAAACACGTTTTCCTCTGGTTTTCACTTAGAAACATTTATTGTAAATGCTTTTTTTGGACTCCTCGCGTCGACAAATAGTAGATGTAACACTAGACCAAACTTAGAGACACTTCGCCATACGATATCAATTTATACTTAATCGTCTAAGCCAAAAAGCTGCTAAATTATATTAAAATCGATTAAAGCACAATTAATCGATTAAAATCGATCAAAAAAAGCCAATAATCGATTAAAATTGATTAAAAATTGGCTAAAATCGATTATAACTGATTAAAAAAAACGAAAGATCGATTATAATTAATTAAATATGCGTATAAATTATATAATCAATTAAAATTGATTAAAAATCGAGAATCTGATTAAAATAGTGCCATTTTAATCAATTTAAAATCAAAAAATAATCGATTAAAATCTTGATTTTTTGCGATTTATTTTTAGATGGGTAGATATGAATAAATCAAAATTCTAAAAAAATTTATAGTTGGCATGTGCGCACATCATTTTATTCTTCATTTCGTTAATTTAACAATCCTATTAGTCTACTATATTAGAATTCAATTAATTTATAGTTTTTTATATCTGTCCTATTCAGACCAGAGATCGAAATCGAACAGAACCTAACTAATTCTTGAAAAGCAAATAAATATGGACAAGTACATAAAAAATAATTAACTAAGCTATAATCCTTTTTGTAAAGTTGTGATGTTGTCATGGGATTATCAAACGATCCTTGATCAAACTTTTACATCAAGGATTATGAACGATCAATTTACATTTACAAAAATTTATTAAGGCAAAAAATAAATTGTAAAAGATAATTTATATAAAATTTTACGAAAAATTCAATAAACTTAAAATAGTTTAAATTATATCGAAAAATTTTAAGTTCCATTTTAATTAACCTACGTTTCACTCTGTATAGTTATCTATGGTAATTAAAAGAAACCTTTTATCGCTCAGGTCTACTGGCAAAAAATATCTATACAAGTTTTTTTTATTATCATTAGACAATAACAGGAACGAACTGCGGCCATTTTCTTACGAAATCTTCTATAGTGTTGATCTGATCTATTTTTTTAAGGTCATGTATTTTAACGATTGGGATTGTTGAATTTTAATTTTCAAAAATTTAAATCTAAAATAATTTTAAATTTATTCCATATAACAATTTAATTTAAATTTACTTTGGCAACAATTTTAGTTTAAAATAAACCTACAGAAAAATGCCATACCTATCAGGGACTGAAAATGAACTGAATCGAACTGGGATCTGTAAAAGTCGGATTCGATTCGGTCTCTGATTCAGACTCTACTAGATCAATAATACCACCGTCCTACTGATTGGCATCTACAATAAGATCCTTCCGCTGCATTAATTCTACAAGATTTAGACTCGTTAGAATCTATAGTAGAAACCCTAGATTCATAGAATGATCTAAGCACTGCTATTACTAACACCCATTTTATTCCATTGTTAGGAAGCGTACTCAATGATCTTGGATTTTCTTCTTCTCACCCTTGGTAGCTAGAGCCTAGAGAGAATCTGCAATTCGCTATTTTCTCCGAAAATATATGTGAGTTATACAAAAATGAAATTGTAGTTTGTTGATATTTCAAAAATTTATTTTCGTGATTTTTGGAGAAGTTTATCGTAAAAAATATAAATATATACTTTATTTAACAGATTAATAATTTATAGACCTCAGTCTTGCTCTTTTGGATAATAAAACCTGAAAGTCTCTAGCTACTTGCTTCTTCAAAAAAAAAAAAAAGAATGAAATATATGACATTTTTTTCAATGGATAAAATTTTTTGATTTGAAATTTTCTTCATACCGATGTATATGATTTTCGATCAGTTTCAAAACCTGTTGATTGTGTATCTAAATTGTCATTGAAACTTCCAATCATAATTGGACTAAAACCTGATGATGACATTGGTGATAATGATTCTGTAGTAATTGATAATGGTAAACGATGAGATTTTTCTCGATCAATATTTATTTTCATTTTATAAGCTTCTAATATAGATGGTACATAAATATCTTGAATATCTTCATATGTATATGAATATAAATTATTACGTGTATGAATATAACGAATATTTTCACGTTTTAAATCATCTAAATAAGATGATGAAAAACAACGTAATAAATTATAATTTAATTCATGTTGTAATGTTTGATTTTCATATGAACGTAAACAACGACGAACATTTTGTTGTAAATATTTTAAACGATTTTTATCTATTTGATAATCATAATTAATTAAACTTTTATTTAAATTTTTCATTATTTGTGTATGTGTACGATTTGTATTTAAATTATAATAAAATTTTTTTTGTTCATCATCAATTTCAATATCTAATGGATAATCAATTAATGTTTGATCATCTTTTATATAATATTGACTAATATAATTTAATGTTGATAAATTAGATGGTGAAATTATTTGTTGTTGTTGTTGTTGTTGTCCATATTTTTTATTTACTGATGAAACAAGACGATCAACTGATTTTTCAAATGATTCTGGTGATTGATCATATCGTTTTACAGATAAACGATCACGTGCTTCATTTAAATATGAATGTACTGTTGTTGATGATGGTTCGAAATGTACATTTGGAATTTTTTCTGTTCGTAATCGTTTTATTTTTGATAATGAACCATTTGTTGATGTAACAGTATCCAATCGTTTTGTTTGTCGAAAATCAGGGCTTATACTTGAGGTATGCAATGATGAATCTGAAAAACCATCTAATGTTCTTTGAGATTTTTCATGTTGATATGTTGATGTATCTATAGAACAAAAAAATTAAATTAAATAAAATAATTTAATTATAATAATTATTTTACCTTGTGAATGAAGATATGTTGATGTTGTACTTGGATATTGTTTTGTTTCTGTTGTTGTTGAAAATTGATAAGGTGTATCAGAAATAAATGTTGATGTATCATCTATGTATGTAACTGAATATTGTTCGAAATTATTAGTTTTTGGTTTATATTTTAATGTTTGTTGTGAATTTTTAATTGAATTCTTTGATGGAAAATAATATCGATCAGAATCTATTGAATATGATCGTTTTTCAAATTGATTTGTTGGAAATTTATAAATATTTTTATTAGTATTTGTTGAAGAAAATTTATAACGTTTTCTTAATAATGGTGATGTATTATCTAATTTATTTTTTGATGATAATCTTGTTTTTCTTGTATTATGAGAATATGAAGGAAAAAAATAACGATCATTTATATGTGATGATGGAAGTAAAGTTTTAGTTGACATTTTTTTATTATTATAAATTTTATCTAAACGTGAAATTAATCGTTGAAATGTTTTTAATGATTGATTTTTCGTTGTAACTAATGGTAAATGTGTTTTTAATGTAAATTGATTTTCATTAATTGATGATGAAGAAGAAGAAGCAGATGATGATGATAATGAAGGTGTTTCACTTAATATTAATTGATTATCCAAAGAACTGTTTATTACCTAGCAAAAAAAAAAAACGTAATTATCTTATTTATTCTAAATCATAGATTTAAAATAAAAAAAGAGAATGTACACTTGCTTTTATTCTTTTCATCTTTCGTTTTTGGGTATATACTCACCGTTCTTAAAGACGAGTAAAGAACAAAGAATTTATTGGTCTACATGAATAAGAACAAAGAGAAAAAGAGACTTGTAATTTGCTAAGATTGAACACTTTTTTTCTTTTTTGTTCATATTAAAATAAGTGTAATAAGAAAGTTATTTGCCTTTACAGTATTATACTTCAATGATCATCGTTTAAGATATGAATGAATATGTTTGTATGCAGTCAACTCTTGAAGAGAAATTTTCAAGCATCATCTATTTACTTTTCTTTACTCTATTGAATTATGTACATATCATCAACAGTTTATTTTTTGACAACATTGCTGACGGATAAGCTTGAAGACAAGTTTCAATGAAAGCACCAAAAAAAAAAAAAAAGAAAGAAAAAGAAAACGAATGAATTTGTTTTCTAATAGCTTACTTATTGTTATATAAGAGAGAGATATCTCAAAATTCATATTAATTAACAAAATTCTTACTATTCTATCGATTTAATCAGATACAATACATAATCGCCTTGACTGTATATACAGATATAAAGTAAAATAAAAAAAAGATGAGACTAGTCTATAGAGAAGAAAAGAGAGAACTTTAAGGCACATGCAAACAAAAAATACACATTAGCTCATATTGAGGTATGTCAGACACAAGTTGAACATGAGTAGATAAGGTAATCAACAGTATACATATTCCTCCTCTTTCAACAATTCGTGCAAAAATATATAAAGACTGTCTGTCTATTATTTTCTATGACCTTCAATATATATATCAGGAGACATGAAATAGTAGAAGTAAGTGCCAGAATGAATAAAACCAAGGATGGTCTATATCAATATTTTTCCTGTATGTATAAATCTTCTAGTATTAGAAGAAACGAAACTTTCATTTTATGGTCATCATGAGATTTCTTTTTTTTTTATACTACTGTTTCTTATTCTTTTTCATCATTTTTTTTTTCGTATCAATCAAAAATCTTGTCACAAGCGTTCTATAGGTAATACATTTTGTTATTTTTGTCAGCTACTTAATCATAATAAAAAAAACGAAAAAATTTAAGACATTATGACAACAAAATTGACTACTATATATATATATATTGCAATATTTACTGATTCGGTTTTTTTTTCTTACTGGATTTTGTTAATACTTTATAAATTTAATCGTATCTTCTTTCAATTTTTAATTGAAATATATCAGAAAGAAAATCCAATTCAAAGAAAATAAAAACTATATATACAAATGAAAGTATACATATATATATAATATTTCTTCTAATGATTAAATGAACTGAAAATTGATTAAATCTTTAGTGTAAGATGAACTTGTTCATTTTTAATCGATTATATTCAAGTAAAATGTCAAAATAAATAACATTTTCTTATCAAATCTGACTATTTATACAATGTATGTATGTGTTTCTTTTTTCACCTGTACTATTCTTTTTACTATTTTAAATGATGTTATAATATACTATCGTTGATATTTTTACCGATATAAGACATACACGTACATTACATACTTGAAATTTCTTTCTCTTTTTTTTTTTTTTTAATCTATTTCTTTTGTATTATGTTCATGATGATTAAAAAAAGAAAAATTGTACTTGTCTTGTCTTACGTGACATTTCATAGACTAAAAAATAATAATAAGAATAATAATGAAATCTTATTTACCTATCGATTGCCTTCTCTTTAACTGTGGATATAATTTAAAAAATATTGATATGAACAATAAATTTGAGAAGCAATTAAATTGATTTATTGATTTGAACTGCTTCTCATTTATTCGTAAAAAAAGAGAAGACGAAAAGTAAATGTACGTATATAATACGAAGTACAACTTAGTGTCTACGTCCTTCAAAGAATATATCGAATCGTTATAAAATAAGCATTATTTCTATAATTATTCATTGAATCGAATGTGACAAACGAGTTAAGTTTTTTTCCTTCTCTCGTATTCGTTTTTTTTCTTACCCACCAGGTAGTCTACTTGATGTAAAATAATGTAGAAGAAATAGTTGAATTATTCGTGCGACTATTTGTTGTCATTTCATTATAAGTCAATATTGAACTTGGCTTATCATTGTTCAATAGATTATATACTATTCTACTGTTGTTGTTGTTGTTGTTATTCTCATCCTTTTCTATCAAATTATCTAAAGATTACCTAAACTTTCGGAGTGACAGTGACGATCATTTTATTTCGTTTCTTTTTCCGTTTAGCTTATGTCATTAAAATAAAATAGTTTCGGTGATTTCTTTTTCTAATCGAATTTTAGACACATATAAATACATAGAAAAGATATTCAACATCATGTATGACATAATAAGAAATTATCTACAATATAAACTTACTGTTGGTAGAATAGAATGAGAATGATGATGATGATGTTTTCGTGAAGTAATTAATGTAATTGATGATGGTGGTTTAAGAGAAGCAAATGTACGTAATATTGCATCGGCATAAGTATCAATAACTGATGACAATCCATCATTTGTATTAGTTTTAGTTTGTTGATTAATGAACAAATGTGGCATATTGTATTTAAATTATCTGTATATTTTATCTTAAATTGTAGTAAAATAGAAAAAAAATATATATGAAATTAGACATTAAAAAAAAATGTTACGAATATAGTTATGATTATGCCATTACTTTCAAGACTGGGTAATAAAAGAAAAAAATCAAATAAAAAAAAATCATCTATATATAATCATGTTTAATGAACTTATTTAGAATAATCAATAGATCTAATTATTCTATTAAACAATTAAATCAACTCAACAATCTCATATGTACTTTATTTATTATCTTTTAGATTTAGTAGACAATCAATGAGACGAAAAAAATAAAAGAAAAAGAATATAGTTATTGAACAAGTACGACAGACAATTAACCTTCTTGAGAAATGTATATAAGTACATATACTTGTCTTCTCTTTACATATGTATTTATCGACTGAATGAAACATTTTTTACTTGCTAACTGAATTGTATACGTTTGACTACTTAGCATAGACTGAATATATACATTCATGCAACAATGAATAAATGACGATAAGATAAAAGCAAAGTTGATCAGACAAATACAGGTATAAGATAATGATTATCGACATGTCCATCGAGCCTGTTCTTCTTTAATATCAAATTAATGATATAGTCATGAATGAAATGTGAGTGTTAGATGATGACAAAAAGTCAATGAACGTGTCACAAATGATATGCACTGCATTATAAAACATATTACATACTTCACACGTGTCGACGGGACGGAACTTGTATATATAGTGTGACTTTTACAATACAATAAATGAATAAAAATGTTAATTCGTTTATAATCACCTTATAGCAAACAATAGATGGAGAATTTTTCTTTTTAAAATAGAACTTGAAATCTTTCGATCAATCATTTAATCATATCTGTTATATGTAAGAAGATAAAAAGTCCAGACATTCTTTTTTTTCTTTTTATCTGAGCTGATGCTTAAATATTATTAATTGAGAATCATACGATAGATTATCATTTTGTTTAATAATTAAAATTCATTTTAATTATTTGAAAGTATAATATTATCAACCATTTGTATGATTTCTTGCTATAAAAATCTAACTCAATAATTTCCTTTTTTTTTTGTTTTTTGCATATGTATGAAAATAAGGCGGCTTAGATCAAGAGGATATAAGATCAATAAAAACGTTCGTCTTTATATCGACTATTATATATGATAGATTTAACATCTTTCTATCAACAATTGTACTAAATTACAACTTGAAAAGTATATAGATAAAATCACTTTGACTAAAGTAATTGCACTTATCGACTTTTTTTAATGCATTATGAAGCATAACATTTAGATGAATTATGATGAGTTTCGATTATTATTGCCGTTCTCACGAACAATCACGCATTTTTATTCTGCTACCCATGGTTATACCCACAGCCGACTCACAAAACCTTTTTATTTTCTAAGTTATAAAGTTCACAATGGAGGCGGATCGTATGCATTATTACTCCTCCTGAGAATGTCTTATATTCAAAAGTGAAAATGAAGAAAAATTTTTTAGAATATAAGCTTCTATATTAGTATTAGATAAAATTTTGGTTATTTATTCTCTTATTCATCCATGTATTTTCATTTAAAGGATTAAAATTGAAAGATTTTTCAATAACAACACAAAATTTATTATTATTTTTTTTTAAATTCTTTAATATTGTTAATATTTTAGCTTTTGAATTAATATGTATAAACATCAATTAATCTAGATTCTGATTCATTAATTAATTGATATTATTTTGATTGTTGTATTGTTGCTAATAAGAAAGCTTTTTAGTTTTATAAGACATCCATATTTATTGAACCATTCATTGAATACAGGTATATCTTTATATTAATAACATTTATGCATAAAATTTGCATACTCGTAGAGCATAAGAAACATGTAATAGACAATAGAAAGAGGTCAAGAAGCCATTACACATGTGTTCACTTAAAGAGATTATAATAGCAAGAGGAACGGCAAAAAAGTGTTCACTAGTAGAAGTTTTACTGTATGTACATAAAATTTTTCAGAGCCTCAATTTTTTCAGTGACAGAGGTTTGAGATAAGAGTACTTTTGGCTAACAGTGTATCTAATAATTTATACAATAATATGAATAATAACAGTTAGATGGACGTCTTCTCTTCATCTACCAACACACACCTACACTGGCACACATCCACACCCATTTGCCTGGAACCAGAAATCCCTAATAAAACTTTTAAACTCATTAGTAAAACTAGCTAGGAATCTTTGGTTTGTGTGAATCGAAAGAAGATATTTTGCTCTATGAAATAAATGTATTTAAAATGGAAATTCAATACTGTGTCGTCAAAAGTCATTATGGCTGTCTAAAGACTTAACTAGAAATCCACTAGAGATCCTTGAGAAAATCTTGATGTCAGCATATCATTACATACACTGATCTTGGCTTTTTGGTGATGCAAACTTGATCATGATGGTTGCGTAGGTTTTTTTTTTCGAGTTATATGCGCATTCCACTTGTTCATACTATATTTTGAAATAGATAGTAGTATGTTAAATGAAAAATTCGATCTTCAATAGTGAGCATGAGTAGTGTGCATATAGAGAAAATTTGCACCGACATCCACACTCTACACACGTCACCTCATATTGTGTCGTCCTTTAGATAAAAGAAACAATGAAATGATGAATGACGATACATGATATCTTAGCAGAAAAAAAACTCTTATCTTGAATGTGTATCTTTGTTTGAAGAGAATAAAAAAAACAATAAAGTCAAAATACGCAAGCAGACCTCCTCCCAAGAAACTTATGGCAATAGTAAAAAATCAAGCAATCGAGTTGTCACTACCATTATTGATGTCAAATTACTTCGAGTACATAGACGAGGATACCATCGACGCAGAACTCAAATGTGCTATATGTGAGCAACCATTTCAAATACCGGTTAGCTCTTCAAAATGTGGTCATACATTTTGTCGTCAATGTATTAATGAATGGTTAAATAAGCACAATACCTGTCCGACTTGTCGTGATCGAATGTTATCACAGGAACTAACACCGATCGCCACACGAATCGTACTCAATCAACTCGATCGTCTTCTCGTTCGATGTACTCTATGCAATCAACAGAATATTCAACGAGGCAATATTCTCCAACATTATGAACAATGTCCAAACAAGATAGTTCCGTGTTTGGCAGCTGATATCAAATGTATGTGGACAGGAAGACTTAACGAAAGAATTGAGCATGTTCAAATGTGTCCATTACAACAAATTCGTCCAATTATCGATGAGCTTCGTGCTGAACTACAAACTCAAACCCAACATTATGACAAAATCATAGAGCAACTTCATTCTGAATTAAATGCAACAAGACGACAGATGCAGACACAAATCAAAGAGCATACTGAACAACATCGTTTTCTTCTTGCGCTTATCAACAATGGCAAGCCGATGAGTGACAGTTGCTCGAAGTTCGAAGGAACAGTATTCAACTCTAAATGTTCAATGATCAAATCCTTTGAGACTCATAATCCTCCATCATGTTCCCTATGTGATAGTATTATAGTTGAACCTTCTGATATATCAGTTCATCATTGTGACCGCGGTTGTATATGTAACATGTGCTTTCAAAAATATTATTCTTACACAAGAGATGTTGTCAATTGAGAAATAATCATGATTTAAACGAAAATAGAATTCATTCGTCCGATCAATAGTGACATAACTCGTTTTTTTTATTAGGGTATGGATGTGTGTGAGGTTGGACAACGGGAAGATCCTATCTACACGCTACATCCTCTTTGACTCTGCTGTGAGAAATTAATGAAATTAGGTCAGATAAATTCAAGGGGGAAACGACTGACTTAAGTCACTTCAAAGTCATGTTAAGTCAAGTAAGTCAATTAAGTCATTTTAAGTCAGTTAAGTCAAGAAAGTCATTTTAAGTCAAAAAAGTCAAGAAAGTCACGAAAATCATCTGTAAAGGAGCATTAATAAAGAATAAAAGCTGTGATTTTTTTTCAATCTTGACGATACATTCTCTAAAACATTTTCTTCACATTTTTTTTCAATGATATACACATAGAATAGGTAAAAGAAAAAGATACATATGTTGTAGGCAAAATTGGCATGTCATTTTGACAACTTCAGAACTAACAAAGAAAACCAATAATATAAACACGAGTGGAGTTAAGGATGATGGTGAGAGTGAAGGAGAAGATCTAAGAGAGCGGAAGTAATAACAGTGGGTATAAAGGATTCTCAGCGAAGGTTAGTTTTTCAGTAAGATTATGGTGTTATACAATTATTTAGTCTGATTTTATTCTCAACTTCATCACACTTATCGAGACTCCTCATGTTCACTCAGACCTCGGTCCTCGGCATCACCATCATTCATGATGACGAGAAATATGCGAGATAAAAAATTAAAGAGTTGTCAAGACCAAAACATAAAAACTTGCAGGAACCAGACTGGGACCAAGAACAGGAAAACAAAGTTTTTTGTTGAATTTTCCTTGATTTTTAGCGAATTATGTGGTAAATCATATCATTTCTTAACAAAATTGACCACAATACGAGTATTTAAGAATTTTTTAAGATTTAAATTAGAAAATTTTAGAGTATTTTGCTCCACACCAGCACAAAAATCAGAACTGGAATAGAGTACTGCAACCCGCGGGTCGGGTACCCGTACCCGTACGGGTGCGGGTACCCGTACCAGGGTACGGGTATGATATTAACGGGTACGGGTAGGGTACGGGTGCGGAATTAACGGGTACGGGTAGGGTACGGGTACGAAATTAACGGATATGGGTAAGAACCGTTATACTCAACTTTAATGTTACCGTTTAGTAGCGGCATACTTGATCACACAGATGATTGGTCGTTCTGTGAAACTATCAACGATGTACGTGAAACCGTTCGAAAAAAATGATAAACACTTTCATTTATTGATACTTTATTTCATCTTGATATATTGAGTTTTTTGTGAATTTTGGTATATTAATTA